AATCAATACTGCTGGTCACAACGGTATATATATAATATAGAAACTTATTATTACATAGATGTGTGCATATATACTGGTGCTCCGTTGCTAAATCCCTGAAGCGTCTATGTATCCGTCATTGGACTACTTACAAGTCAGATACAGAAGTCATCTCCCACGTCCAGAAAATAATCACTACGCACTTTTTTCTGGAAGGAATAGCCTACGACAATACAGTCGCATTCACTGGAAGTCGCTAACTAATGGGAGAGATGAACTGGAGGCATGCGATGCGTGCAAGGAAGGTTCGTGAATGGTAGGCATCGTAAGACAACCAATCACGAAACATGCCGCAGTACATGACCAGCTCACATACGCGGAAAAGAACGCAGCCTGAGATTGGTTATAACCCTGAAGCGATAAATATGACAAAAGCTTATAGAGGACAGATAAGAACTTCATGGAACTTCGACCTGTGCCACAAATCTATTGAGTGCGACTTCATACACTTCGTCACCTAGCCCCTGAATTGATTCCACTGTTCGCCAGACCTACATTTCGTCGGATCCTCGAATTTCCCACCACACTACGGTCCCAAAACGTCCCGATACACAGAATGATGGTATTGCACCCTACCTAAACCAGACAACCTCAATGTTAATCGGGTCTTGTTTCAACGCGAGATGCTGAGAACGGACTCTACCGTAAGGTCATTACAATTACAATGTAACTGGAATACGTGATATTAGCCTGAATTACTGGAACAGAACTCTTTAAGAAATTCGGAATTTCAGGATAAACTACTAAACAGACTATTATCTGTATCCTTCTAAATGATTTACATATATAGAACTCAGCTAAATCGTCTCCAGGTAGTTCTATCGAAGGAAAACGAGGAAGAACGACAACTTGAAACAGTTTTGACCTGACGAGATTTCGAACGCACTACTAGCACGGAAGGAGCGTGAAACTGTAGCTGTTCAGAGATCATCCAGATACAGTACTTCATCAGTAGCGTAAATGGGAAGGTAGATTGATGAGAGGTAAGAGATGTGGCGAATCATATCATGATCTCAGGCCCGTTTCATACACAGCTCTTTCACGAATGGATCCACTTCCCAATTCTTGAACAATTCCATCACTTGCATGTTCTCCTCATTCTGAGCCAAAATATTCTGAAATAAGCATTTCATTAAAATTATCAGTAGTCTTGAGACATTCAATTCCAAAAAAAATCTATAGCAGTGAATTATGTGTAGTTGTTTAGGCCTCAAGAACGGGTATGCGGCAAGAGAATCGTAATTCGCCGCGCCAGTGAGCGTCGCGTGCGACGTCGCGCCCGCCAATGACGTACAGCAGCGATGTGTGAAACTGTGAAATGGATAGGGGGGATGTCATACTTGGACGCTGGGGAGGGGCGGGAATCGAATTGGTCGTTGCTGGGAGAGAGGGGAGCGTATGTGCCTTCGAAATTTGCCGCGTTAGGAAGAGATTTTTTAACGGTTGTTACTTTTCACAGTTTTCCCGTTCCACACTGGTTATGTACCCCTCCGAATTCGGAAATTAGGACTGGGAATTTGTAGGGAGTGGTAGGTGTTGAGGAAGAGGTGGGGGGGGGGTCGTACCGAGACTTCCCTTAGGGGGGGGTGGGAGGATCGCCATTTCACAAATCGGGGTGCTGTACTCTGGATCGAAAACAGACAATATATGACCAAAAATAGACATAAGTGTCTACCTGTCCTTGTCTACATGAAATCCGATGCTCCAATCGAAAGGGTAGTGCAAATTAAGGAAACGTCGCGCCCACTGCCGCGCATGACGAAGCGACAATTTACGGTTCTCTTGCCCGTCTCCGAGGTTATGAATTAGCGGAGTTTGCTGATTTCCAGCGATGGGGTGGGCGTGGCCGCGTACTTTACTTGAACATGACGTAGAATGCGTTGTACGTGGGATATTTCCATTTGACACAAGTGCCATCCGTTTGTCTACTAGACGAACTCATGTTTTGAAACTGCAGTATCCCTCCGGAAGCGCAGGTGCCGCCACGTTTGGTTGAAGTACGCAGTCACGGACCCTCCAGCTGTGAGCTAATGGACTATACGCAACTGTCTTTGCCATTGAAGACAAACTGTTCATTCACCTCAAACAATGATCCCTGTGAACTGCGAATGAAGAGAAATTGTGGGAAGAAGGAATTGGCACTATACAGGTATGGTACTTGTCACTCGAGAGAGAAAAAAAGGGCTAAGTGTTGGTGATACTTCCCGATTCCTTCGCGCTATCCTCAAGGTACAGGATTTGCGTCGATACCAGAACCAGTTGCGAACACGCAGTCAGAAGTGGAGAACAGTCAGAAGTGAGAGGACGCAGACAAGTAGCACGTTTGGCTATGGCCGTGCGGCAGCGCGGGCGGAGTCGGGGGATGGCACCCGCTTATACAAGATTATAAGTTCAGACGTTAGGGCGCATACAGTACCCCCGAACACTGCGCATGAATCAAAATGTCGCGAAGGTCCGGTGTTGGGCTGCCACCCGAGGAGCGACCCGCCTGGCACAGGTGCTCCCACGCGCGCCTAGGATGCCGTGCCCAAACGCTGGGACTGAGCTCTCTATGGAGCAGATAGCACAATATGCCTCGCTGTGTACATTCACGGCCCAACACATTTCATTTCACTCGCAATTTCCGGGGGCACTGTATGCACTTTGATTTCCTGAACCGATATAATATTACCCCGCATGTCACCTTCCAGCCCCGTTTCCGTGAGCGGAGAAAGTGGTACGCTACTGCAGCTGTAGACCCATTCACCTCACACATTGCAAAGATCAGAATCCACGGAGAAGATGTATATTTCGTCTTCAATGGCTTTTGTGCCATAATGTACTGACTTGTAGTACGTCATGGATACAATAATCAACCGACGCAGTATGATCTCTACTTCGCCTAACGGCATGCTTATTGACTTTATAAATAAACAAATTAAATAAAGTGACTGATACATGGGAAAGGCTCAGTTACCTGTATACTGGCTGTCATCATTAGAAGGCTGCCATATTTCTGAACACCAGCAGCCATGCCGAGCTTATTTGTGATACATGTGAATAAAGCACTCAGATACCTATTCCTCTCCTCATACACATGAGGTTTAGCTTGACTCGATAAATCGAGCGCATCTAAAAGTGTAACTTAGTGGATATCCATCATGTTGTGTTCAACAGGCGAACATGATAAATGGGCACGTGAGAAGGAACCACGCAAAACTCGTACCGGGATTGAAAAACAGCGCCGCTTTGAACGTGGCGAATTCAGAGACCGATAACTGAAGACGCCGGAATGGTAGCATTATTTCGTCGATCTGCCGAGTGTATATGGGGCGACAACCAGATAATTGTACCTGTAGTGCAAAGTATAAGATGAATAATGCTAGAAACCCAGAAGAATAACAAAGAAATCACCATAATTTGGAAAAAATTCGAGAGAGCCCCCCTAGTGGATTACGCTAACAAGTAAGTATGTAAGTATGAACAATATTACCACAAAAATACCCGAGTTACGGACAAACCACAAGAATGCCGAGTTATAGGCAGAAATCTGACCCCAGGCGACACTCGAGCCCACACCTTACGCTTTCCGGGTGAGTGCGGTATCCGTTATTAGCGCCAAAGAGGATCTTTACCTTGTCAGCTTGGCGCTTTACGCCTTAGCCTTACAGTACTCACACGTTGAGATGGTAAGCCAGTCAGCCGAGATATCGAAAATGAACAGCGACCTCGGAGGCTTTAGAAATTTTGAAGTTTTGTGTCATGATAACTGCTGTTTTGCGCCGCAGTTCGTGCTTTAAAGCAAAGGTTACCACGAGAGCGCCGAGTTATGGGCAAAAGTCTGACCCCAGGCGGGACTCGAACCCGCACCTCACTTATGAAAAATGTCTTTGAAAACCGTGCACAACCTATCTGCTGCGGAGATGGGGCATTTGAAGAAGGATGGGCTTGGCACGGCACCGAACCCGTTCTCCCCTAGTTGTTGGAGCGAGAAAGCGACAAGACTGCACCATATCGTTCGTATCAGACGTTCCCCATGTTTTACCGCCTACCCTTTCCTAAAACTGGTGGGGAACGAGCTGACGGCGCGTCAAACCCAGCCTCACTTGATACGCCCCATAATCCGCAGCGAACAAGACTGTAGAGTCCGGAGTGCCGATGTAAGGCTGCGGCGTCCACCAGCGTCTACCAGCGATCACTAAGGTGCCGTGCTTCCGGCAGCGTCAGCGAGTGCGAAAGTAGAGGTATCGATCTAGCATCTGCCCGCAACTGCCAGCGTCTACCAGCGTGCACCAGCGTTCACCAGCGACCGAGAGTAGAGAGCATGGGAAGTAGGAGGGATAGCAAACAGCTGGATTAGGCGTCGTGAAATTGCGGCGTGTGCAACCGCACCGCACAACTGCTAAAGCACAGAATTATGCAATTTAATGTACGGTGTAGTGTAGTTGTACGGTGCGGTTGCACACGCCGCAATTTCACGACGCCTAATCCAGCTGTTTGCTACCCTCCTACTTCCCCATACTCTTCACTCCCGGTCGCTGGTGAATGCTGGAAGACGCTAGATCCATCTAATCTTCCCTAGTCGCTGAGCGCTCGGAACGGAAGAGACGCTCGGAACGCTGGCGGTCGCCGCTGGACGCTGTCGCAAAGTATGAACGCAGCCTAAGGTGCCGATGGATCGGTACAGTAACCCCACCCTCTGATTTAATGCGGACCCCTATCAATAAGTCGAATGCGATCCTCTCCCCAGTCACCAGTATACGACCCCCATCAAGGTTCGTCAACCACGCCTTACCCCATACCCAAACATCCGTTGCTCAAATAATACAATTCTAAGCACCATTTGGCAAACTCACAAGTTGGTGAAACCAGTTCCCTCGATTATTATTGTATTGATCATGTGCGCGCTAAGAAGGCTTATGATTGATCAAGACTGTTGGGAGCAGTCTGGCGTGATGGCTGTCATTTGTTGGTTCTCATCAATCACTGCTGATGCCTTCTGTAGATACTTGTACACTCTTGTGAAGCTATGCAACAGAAGGACTTCCTCTACTTACA